TTGGTAGGGAGTGACTGACAGGCAGAATGTTCCTCATCCAGGTAAAAGCCATAGAAATGCAAATCTGCAGTTTTTATAGGATTCCTTTATTCTAAGGTCTTGAAAGTGCTGGTATCAAAACACAGACTTTCACTAATGTTAGGAAGAAGATAACTGGTAATACAGTTCTGTGAGTTGACTTCTAGAAAGAAGAATAAATAGATAATGAATCTGTACACTTTTATGTTATTTACATATAAATAGGGGAAAAAAAAGATGGAGCTCATTCAGGTGTTGTTTTTTTCTTGTTGTTGTTGTTTTGTTTGTTTGTTTTGATTTATATAGGAACACAAGGAGGAACGTTTTTCCCCTTCTTATATCTAGAAGTCAAGTGCCAGAAAGAGAGCATGTTGTTTCATCCAAGGAAGAAAGATGTTAGTAACTGAATTGCATAATCCCCAACACAGAACTGACATCTGAAGTATATATGGTTTAATATTATGTCAGGGATTTTAACTAAAGTAGTCTTTAGTGCAAGACATTCACTTTGGAAGGAGTCAGAAAGTTCATACCTCTGTAACAGCTTACTACACAGATTATGTCTTCAGAAAACATCTTTTATTTCTTCCTCTGTCCTTGGTGGTCTTGAGAGTAGAAGGCTGACTGTGGCAGCATTTAGATGGTTACAATGTTGTTGTAACTATTTAGGGGGGAAATAACACACTTTACTTTCCAAGATAGCCTGCGCAGCTCACAAGAGTACATTTGTGTTTCTAAGGTCTTGAGAGTTATGGAATGCTACTCACATTAGTAACAATGATAGTCAAACTAAAAAGAAAACAAAAACCAACCAACCCACCAACCAAATCAAACCAAACCAAACCAAACCAGCAAACAAACAGAAAGAAAATACAAGTTGGATTTGCATTTTAATGCAATTTATAATGGAAAGAAATAATTTTTTCTGTTTCATCTTCTGCACAGTCAAAATCTGGGATTTATAAAGGCATTAAATATGAACTGGTTCTTTTTTATTTGTTTAGCATTTTTCTTACTTTTGCCATTATTCTTCAAATTAAAAGGCATTCTAAAGCTGTCCAAAATTTGAAAAAATACAAAGTATAGGGTGTTTCTCCTATATGGAATAAGAATATTAGTATTTAACACAGGAGATAAAAAAAAAAAAAAAAAGGCTACTAATATAGTACATCTTAATTACATGCATATTTATAAAAAAAAAAAAAAAAAAAAAAAAAAAACAGAAGTACTCTAAATGAACTATAAAAACATTCCTTTGGCCTGTTTATTAAACATAAAATTATATGTTTAAGAACCACACATTAAGAACCAGACACTGTGTTTTATTTCTTCAAGAGCTGGCCTAGTTATTTCTGATTAGTTGCTGAGACATTTTAAAAACTATCAGATATATTTACCCAACATTTGCTTGGCTGACTCTCAAGGAGAGGATCAGGAAAGGAAATGGAGAACACCAGTGATAAACTATTCCCAGGAATGTTATAAAGCTGGCAAACTCTCAAAATCATGTTTTACTGAGGTTCAGATGAACTGCATATCATATACAGTCTTTGGAAAACAAGCCAGATTAACGCATTCTCTGCTGGGGTCCATGAATTTAAGAGGAAATGGTGTAGTTTCTTTTGTTTTATTTGCTGGTAAGCAGAAATAGTGTAAGATGGCTACAAAAATGTGAAACTAAAAGCCATATTTCTGGAAGTATGAAGAGCATACTGACCAACCTGAGCATGCTTGGATTGTTAAAATAGTCTGGCTTAATCATAGAATCATAGAGTCACAAAACCATAGAACCATAGAATGGCTTGAGTTGGAAAGGACCTTACAGATCATTTAGTTCCAACCCCCTGACATTGACAGGGACACCTCCCATTACAGCAGGTTGCTCAGAGCCCCATCCAACCTGGCCTTGAATGCTTCCAGGAATGGGGCATCCACAGCTTCTCTGGACAACCTGTTCCAATGGCTCATCAGTGAAGAATTTCTTCCTTATACCTAACCTAAATCTATCCTCTTTCAGTTTAAAACAGTTACCCCTTCCTCTATCATTGCATGCCCTTGTAAAAAGTCCCCATCCAGCTTTCTTGTAGGCCTCCTTTAGGTACTACATGTCTATGACACCAATGATGTGCTTCTCCAAAGTTCTGATTTTTATATTTATTGTTAATTATATTTGTATTGATTACAGAAGAGCTAACATCATTTTTATTGTCACTGTACACATACATTTTCTTTCAAGAATGTATTGCTAAAGTTGCCGTATTATATTGCTTGTAGCTAAGTATTCTAAAAATGTTTTTCTCCATGTAAACAAATGCTAGTTCCCTGTTTCAGACAAATTACCTCTTCACATTGCCTCCACAGGAGCATACTTATGGTATCCTTAATAGATGATGCTCAGAAGCTCAGTTAATGGGTAGATATGTGATACTAGAGAGAAATTCCAGTTGTACTTGTTGTATGAAAGTTAATATAGATTTAATGAGAAAAAAGATCAGTGATAACAGAATTGTATCTACAGGGGAAAAAGAAAAAAAAAAAAAAAAAAAGGAAGAATTATTAATAAGTAGAAAAGCATGTTTCATCTACATCACAGCAAAATTATTTTAATCACTATCACTCTCTAACATAGGCAAAGTGACATGAAATAGATACAAAACAGCCGTAATGTGAGAGTTATAGACACTGACATACACATTCTCGTGGTGAACTTGCCAAGACTAGCCAAGCCACTAGAAATGGCTCCACCACTGTAAAAAACTGACGTAAAAGGAAGGATCATGAAGTCTGAGACCAGCTCCATCTAAATGCTGTAAGTAATTTCCAATATTGGATCTACTTAAAGAATATAGTAACATCTTGCAATTGGATGACATCTTGCAATTAATTTTCGATTAGTACTGTTTAATGTATAAATGAGCTTCTCAGTTGCAATACAAAACTATTAATGAAAGCTAAAATTATAAAACAGAAAAGCCAGAAACTTTCATGAACTAGTAGCTTTGCTATTCAGCAAATAAAGAGTTTCAAGTAGAACAATTTAGTATGATAAGCACAATTCATTGCTGAGCTCTCAGTATGGAAATGATTATATTTAACAAAATAATCACCATCTCTGGTTTTATTTTTCTGCAAATTTCCTACTGCTCTTGAGAGGAAGCTAAAGTAGTGGCATTTCAACAGGTCATTACTGTAAAAATATATTGTTTAGGAGATTGCAGGTATGTGTATATTGTGGATAGGAGATCAACCTCAGAATATATGAGCATGATATAAGCAGACAGAGGTATCTTTGGCAAAATTCAGCTCATGACATATGGAAAGACCAGAAGAAATACTCACTCAAAGACTGGAGAGATACAGTGCATTCAATTTTGAGAGATTCCTTTTGCTTTTTGTGTTTAAAAACAAAACAAAATGAAACAAAACAAAGCAAAACAAACAAAACTTACTACAAACACTATATGTGGAAAATTATATTTTGGACTGAATTAAAATCACATAAAACAAAATCTTTCTTTTTTGATGTGTGGAAAACAACAGTTTCAGTGTTTTTCTGCTGTGGGATCCTCATGAAGAATTAAAAATCTCTGTGCTTGTCTGGTTTGGGGTTTTGCTAACATGTGCTCCCTTTTAAGCCTATCAGGAGCTTGAATGTGTATCTTGGTCTGGGCCCTCTGAAGTCAAACTGTCTCTGTTTCCTTCTGGAATTTAACCAGGAAGTGCTTGAACCACCAAGCTGTAGGCTGATACCAAGAGATTTGCAGACCTGAGAAATTCAGATAAGCCCATACAAGCTTTGAACCACCAAATCTTTTGAAGTTTGTCTTGAAGTGATCATGAAGTGTAACTTCACTGCTGTCTGCAGACAATGCTAAAACATGAACGGAAACAGATCTCTGTTTTGGAAAGCTACTGTGGGTGGATTAAGGACAAACGAATAAATACAACTATATATGGAAATACAACATTCTTCAGAGAAGCACTCTCTCTCTGAGCACTTGAGTATTTCCCTGCATCCATAACAACAACAACAAAAGCTCATAAAATGGGTTGATTTCCTACTTAGCCCTTCATTTTCACTGTGGGTGATCTGATGCAGTGATATGTTCCTTAAACATTTATTTTTCTATTTACACAGACAAGCTGTTGTTGTTTACCAGTTTTTTCCATTGAACTGGTCAAGGGTGTATATTTGAGGGAAAATCCAGCAGAAGCCAGAAATTGCTGTAAGTAGAAGTAAGAGTGAGTAACCCACAGACATTGACAGGGACTCATTGTGGAGCAAAGCAAATACCCAGCACATGAGCCTATGCCAATTTTTCTTAAGACTGTCAGCTCTGTCAGCTAGATATGATGGCATAATATCATGAGACCTTTTGTCCATAGTTAGACTTTTTTAATAATGACTAATAGCAGATACTTCAGGAAAGTATGAGGAGTGGGAAAGTGCAGGGTGATACTTCCTGTTGCAAACCCTACCAGATTCTGATAGACTTTGATAAAAGATATTTCCTGACCAAAATGTTGTATGGATGTCCCCATGTTTAAAGCTTTTATAGACTTTCTTCACAAATTGTGGGTTCAAAAGCCTATTTCTAAGAGAAAAAATCATACAGCAATGAATTCTGCAAAGTCTGAAGTCATCTATAATTAAATGTCATCTACAACTATGTGTTTTTCTTTAATTTTTTTTGTTGTTGTTGCTTTTTTTGTTTGTTTGTTTGTTTGTTTTGGATGCATTTTGTACTATGATTTATCACTGATCACTCATAATCTGTCTTTTCCGTGAATTTCACCATTTTACTACCCCAACACTGAAGAGAAGGTTTTGTGTAGATCTAAGTAACAACCATCCAATACCTAAGAGGAGGTCATTGAGAAGACAATGTCAGTTGTCACTCTTCACAGTGGGAGGGCAAAAGATGATGGATTGAAACAAACAAATAAAAATGTCATATGGGACATAATGAAAAGCTTTTACACCATGAGAAGAGTAGAAGAGGCTGCCAGTGAGGCTGTGCAGTTTCCATCCTTGGAGGTTTTCCAATATACAGCTGGATAAATGCAGAGGATATATAAAACTATCCAAAAACTGTGAGTAAATGAAGACCTGTCAAATACTTACAGAAAATTTAGACCTTATTAATTGGTAGTTATGATTAAATCTGGATTTACCTATGTGCATTTCTTTGCATGTATTGACCCTGTTTCTTATCGGTCATTTAATGTCCATATTCTCCTCCTAAACTACTTTCAGTCAGTATAGCTTTGAACTGCTCTGATTACTTCTGTATCATCAGAAAGCTTCATTACAGACTGAACAACCAAGTAAATTATATATTTAATATATTAAATAAATTTATATATATATGTATAATATATATTATATATAAATACATATGTTATATATTTGATATATTAAATATATAATAAATTACATTAAATAATATGTTAATTAATGTAATGAATATATTAATATGTTAAATATATTTTTATATATCTAAGTTTTGTGTTATGCTGTTATCTGTTTTTAAGGCACCTTAAAATCTACTGGAAAATGAAAACACACTGTAAATAATGTAGATCAAAGAAAAATGAAGATAGAAAGTTTTGTTACTAGTATCCATGCTTTTTTTAAAAATACTTTTTGCACTGTTACACTTTTTGTCCTAACTTGCCAGAGTTTAGGGCAATTTATTTTTATTGTAATGGACATGGCTTTCATTTCTTTGGGATGGTTCTTTTGTTAGACTCCTTTACTCTTATGTTTAGCTATGATATTTTTATATCATTCCTTCCAAGGTCATTTGGACTGATAGAATGTGTTTGTTCAAAGCTTCTACTGACATATGTCTCATACTTTTTGGCTGCTCCTAATTATTTTCCATTAATAAATTTTTCAGAGTAGTTTAGTAATTACATATTAGATCAAGTCACATACATGTTAGTATGAACTCAAGAAATGCCCATCCTTTTATGTATTTGCTAATTTGTTGCTCATAGAAGAAATCATTAATGGCATATAAAACCATAAGTTTTGGGAGAGGCTTTCATGACATCTACCTAACCCGCCACACAGAGTGAATTCTATTAGTTTTCTTTCCAGTGCAGTGACTCAATGAGTGGCTCATTGCATATACTAGTTAAAGGAAGGGTTTAATGATTTAAGCTCTTGGGGAAAACTGACTGCTTCTCAAAAGGAAGATTTGACCATGTTAGTATTGTGTGCATCATTTTGATCCCTCAGTGGTTCCTGATGCCCCATTAATGTGGCATTTCTGCATTAAAGGCTTATGTTTAACACTAGTAATATAATACAGAAAACAATCTGTAAACACTTTATTTCTGCATTATCATTGCCTTTATTGTTTTAATAAGCATAGGGTTGACATTTGAGCTTTTTCTTTCTTTTTCTATTTCTTTTTTTTTCTTTTCTTTCTTTTTTTTTTTTTCTTTGACTCAAGCTCTAAAACTATTCAGCTGTTTTTAGAGCCCAAAATGTTGACAGCAGAATATAAGTCCCAAAGCTAACAGGCTTCAAGAGAAAAACACTAATCAGTAGGGAAAAGGAAAATTACTTTTTAAATTTCATTTATACAAATTACAGCTTTTCTCAGTGTTTTCAGTTATACTTTTTGGAATGCGTTTGCATTCTGGCTGTGGAAACACAGTGTCATTACTGAGTATGCAGGTACATGTGTTCATGGAAGGAAAAAAAGCTGCAAGAGCAAGAACCTCAGTCGCTTGTGCATTTATAGTACTAAAATATAAAAAGTAACTACCACATTGTCCTGGACTGTAAAAAATATCCAGATGAGAAGATGAAAAGAATGACCATAGCCAGATGGGACTGAATGTCTTTCATTCCAAACCACAAGAAAAAAAAATCACCTAACAAGAAAAGTTTATTCGAGCTGAATGAGTCTTGCAAAATAACGTGAGTTTTGTCAGATCAGAGCCTGCAAAGCCACCCAGTACTCCAGTAGTCTGCATCTATGGACTAGGCATTACGTATTAGATGGATTTTATGGATAGTCTTTCCAGAGTTTTATGAAGACCATACTGAAAAAGAGTAACCCAATAAGAGAACAGTGAAAGGAAAGGTCATCTGGTTCCTATTAGTGACTGAGGTCAACTTTATGCTGAACTTAAGAAAAGAAACTCAAGTCTTTTAGGTTTTGGTACACTGTTACCAAAACCTGAACAGAGCAGTAAGCTACACTCAGGTCTGTCAAGCTGTTGACTGAACTGAAGGCTAAGTCAGTACCTGAGAGACATTTTCATAGTGCTTGAAAATAGAAGTGATGAACTTTGATGTCTGTATGAAAAAAGCAACTTTGCCTAAGAGATATTTTTATTCCACCTGGGCTGGAATGGAGGTGGTTAGGGTCAGATTGGAAAGGTCAGAGAGGGAAGAAACCATTGTAGATGATAGTAGTGGGTGAAAAATAACAAGGTAATAATAAAATGGAAAACTGATTGAAACCAGAAAACATGAAAACATTCCTATGCTAGATAAGATGTAAGATAAGATAAGGCTAGATAAGATGTATTTTTTGGGGGAAAGGGGCAAGACACTTGACAGAGACACCTGTATTAGCTGTTCCTGAAAGAGAAATGTCTGTTTCCCATACCATTTGCTACTTTTTCAAATTAAACTTCTCACAATTTGAAAGGCAGAGATACAAGGTTATCACAAGACATCTATTGCACATCTGTATTCCACAGGTCATGAGGGAACACCACTCAGCCACATGTGCTGGCATTGATGCTAGAAAGACTGTCAACTGCACTCTACATATTTCATATTTACATCCATGCTCTTGTGTTTGGATCAATTTTCCCAACATTGTACACTTCTGAACTATTCATTTACTGCTTGCATTGTGTAAAGACAATATGTGTATTGATAATCTAAAATATCATTTGTTCTAGTTACAATAAGCCACCCTAGAAGCTTGCTATTGCTGTATTTTATTTCATTTGGCTATTATGTACAACTGAATGGCCAGTTCAGACCTCTTGCTTTTGTTTTACTTTTTTATTTATCTAGAATAATAATCATAATGGAGTAAACCTTTTTGCTAGTTTAGTTTTCCCATGTTTTGTTTCTCTGAATGTAATAAAGTTGAATAAGTGATTCTGTGGGCAGACATTGGCCCTGCCAATCTAAATATGTTGATTAAGGCTAGTCTTTTTTAACCAATTATGTCTGTCAAATACTCTTTTCTGGTCTTCAGGAAGTCAAGCAATTGATTCAGTTCTTACATTAAACATCAAACTATGAATATCCTCACTTTGAAGTCAATGGTATGACCCTCTTTACTTTATGCAGAAGAATGCAGACAATTTAATACTTTCAAACCAGAAGTCTTGGTTGCTGATGTTCCCACATTCTTCATACCAGATAATGTTATAATTACATGACAGCTAAAAAGTATCTGGGTGAATTTCAGTAATGTTGCAATATGGAGGACAGTGGGTTAGACAGCTAAGTTGTCAGTTGTAAGGTATTCGGCATTTTATAATAATGTCTGCTTATGGACACTTGACCTTACACAGTAAACATCAGAGTAGATTTAATGTAGGAGGTAGCCCTGGTACAAAGAAGAATCTTGTGTGCTACTAGTGTATAGTGTAGTTGTCTAAGGCTAGCCACGTTTGTCCTTGCCCTTTTATGTGCCTCCATGCTGTAAAGCAGCACTTGTAGGCACTTAATAACCTCTGCTGACCTCTTGTCCTAAGCATAAGTATTTATAACCTTTTTCTGAAAGGATCAAGCAGAGTTCTTCTATAAGATATCTGGACTATCTGTCTCTTTTTGTCATGTAAAACTACTCTGGCTCTAACCTGGCATTCACAGTTCCTTCTATGAAGCATGAGATCTGGGCTGTCCCCAGGTAAGCTCCTTAAATGACAGCAGCTGCTGCTCACCACTGGCACCCAGTCCTGCTCCCTGACATCCTCTCTCTTTCTAGCATGATGAATGCAGAACTGATGCCTGAACAATGTCTTATCTTCAAAGTGGGGAAGTTTGCCCTCCCACTCCACCCCCCCGCATTGTTTATAGCCTGATTGTTTATAGTCTTGCGGTTAAACTGTTTCCTAGGAGATGTGGTTTCGCTTGCCTGCATGACAGGAGTATATTGCACTTCATCTTCCTAATTGCTGCTCATCTTTTGTGTGAAAAAGGGAGGAGGAGAAGAAATCCCCGTGGGCCCTTTTAGAAAGGCAGCCGCAGCTATAGAGGTCCTGAGAGTGTCTCCTGCACAGCTTTCAAGGGACCGTGGCTGAGGCATTGGAGTGAAGGAGTTCCAGCCACTGAATCCTCTCAGGCTGCTGTAGTGGTGTCAGTCACTCTGGGCTTCTCAGATATTTTACGGTCACAGTATGATATCCATTGAATTTAGGGTAGATGAGGTAACACTTGATTAAATAAGTTCAAGATGCAGTTATAGTTGGTACTATATTCCTCGTATTTCAGATGTTTGCAATTTTTTTGCATCTAGCCCCCAGTACTAATTGCCATCTGAAGCAGGAAATGTTAAGGAGGGAAGTGGATGTATGTTAATGCCCAGACATGTGGGGTTCAGTCTTGTGCTGAAATTAGGACTATCATGGATGTCTCAGATCCTTTGTGTTTTGCTTGTATACTACTGAGATTCTGCTGGTGTGATTCTACCCAAGAGACTTAACAATGTCAAAGAGAAATGTTTGGGACATCGTGCTACTTTGATGCTACAATATACTATTTTCACCTCTCCTGAAGACCAATGTGTAATGTCAGGTCTAGGAGTCTGGCAGTGTTGAACAGCTTTATATTCCACCCACTTTTGCTGAAGCTGGGAACTGCCGGTCTAGAGTTTTGTTCATCATCTAATTTAGGGAACTGCAAAAAGGCAAACCACACAGATGTAGGCTTTCCAGACCTCCCTTATAATATGGGATTTCCTGTATTGTGCATTCAAACAGTACGTCCTGTATATAAAGCACACAGGAGATAATTTTTTCCATATTTTTCTTGTTTGGTTCCTATCTGTTCCTCCCAGGCTGCATCTCAGAGAATATAAGCATTCAGAGTGAGACAACAGGAG